GGACTTAGTCGGTGGATACCTGAGCCCGCGATATGGTCAGCAGAAACACTATTTTGACAGCTGTCAATTAATCAAAACATGGATGTACAATATCAGGTTGCAGACTCCCAAACTAGCTAGAAAGTGTGAGATTAAACATTGGTATGCCTGTGGTGCGGACGGACAAAAGGTCGGGTGGTCGGTGTACGAATTTTCTAGGAGGGATAGATTTTCTAAGCTATGGGTCTTCGAATTGAGCCCGTGATCAAATAAAATATCAGCGCAAAACTTTAAACACTACGTGAACTCAATGAATAGAAAAATGAGCCCGCGATACAATCAGGTAATGATGGTCAGCGTATACTCTAGTTTGATAGCTGTCAATTAATCTTCATTAGAATGGCGAATATTCGAATTAAGAGACTACGAGTGTGAGAAAGACATATCCGTCCGGCATGTATTGGAAAATGCCAGATCGTGTACCTGAGCGAACCTGAGCCCACGTTATTAGTTTTCTGATAGTGGTCTGCACATGTCCCATTTTGACAGCTTTCAATTGACCTTAATTTGGCTTGCCAATATAACTTTAAACGACTGTCAGGCAACTGACAGCCTTGCCCGGAGTAGTTTCGTGTTTTGCTGAATTGGTAAGTGTGACATATTATATCTGCTTATATGTAGGGGCAAAACGACTGGTCTTTCATCTGAACCCGCGAGATGGTCATGTGATAATTGTCAGCGGATGTCTGATTTTGACAGCTGTCAATCTAATCGTACTCATACGGATGGCTTACATAACTAAGAGGCTAGTCAAGTTGTGCAAGATCTATTGGACATTTGACATCGGCGGGTGTGTGTACGGGCGGGCGGGCGTACTTTACGTCATAACCAACTTTTCTCTGATGGATAGTTTACCAAATTTTCTTACCCAAGAGAGCTCCGCTAGTAAACAGCAAACTTTTAACCTTCTGTTTACAATTTGATTTTAATATTACAATATCAGAATTGAATCATCTAATTCTGAAAACCTGTGGTAATGGGATCCGCTCACCTGGATCAACAACATCTGTATACAGATATTTGGAGGTTGTATGTCCAGTTGATGTCAAAAGGTTCCAGCACATGTTCCTGAATAAAACAATCAAAACACAAGGATATGTTAACAATCCCCTAATAATTCAAATTTCAAGCTGTCACTTTTGTCAGGTTGAAGAAAACATCCAGTTTCACTTCAGAAGCCTCTCCTCCCTTCCAAAAAATGTGTTATTATCTACAAGTTGAAAATATATTAGCAAATTAATTAACTATAGTAGCTAACACTTGACATTGATCATCACGAAAATAGTGTTTGTCATGTCTTTAAGTTCTTAGTGCCATAGTGCAATGAAACTTCTGCCATGGCATATGACCAGTAACACTCTAGTGTATTTCAGAAAAAACTCATACATTTACCTTTGGTGACGAAATGACAGAGTTCTTGGAATGTTTTTAAAATTCTTAGAAATCACTCCCTTGAAAAAAATGTGCTTGGCCTCAAATCGCATGGTCCAAATGTTCTGTGCTGGTCCAAACCTATGTTAAAAAGTGTAAAGTTTATTAAAGGAATAGTAAATATGTTGATTGAGTGAATACAAATATTGTTGAGCGCTGTGTAAGCAAATGGGAATTAAGGAACACAAGTGTTCTTAAGAACAAGGAAAACAAGTAAGATTTAATTGACATTATAATTAGAAGGAGAGCAAGTGAAATTAACGCTTACTACACTGCAGGAGACAAATGGGAAGCTAATAATGAATTCATAATCACCTGGTATGTCATCTGGAATGTGGATAACATAGTGCATTTTGGGTATGATCGAGGCTGCAGGGTAGAGTCCTTTGAAGAGGGTATGGTGTTCCTCTATGAGAACCCGTAAGTATGGAACGTCATCTTTTTTTGATGGCCGGAGCAGTACAGAGTTGAAAAATATTTTTACACAAAGTCCGAAGTCAACGCCACTCCTCTTTCTCCACATCAACTTTGTCCCGAATTAATATGGGGAGAAAGCGAAAAAGACACCACATCTGGGATGCTGTAACATTCAAAAAAAAAAGAAATACTGCAAATTCATGTCTGCGTCAATGACTACTATTGCCCTGCAAGCCCCTTTTCTAGTTAATAATTTTTAGAAGTATAAAAAGAATAACTATGCCAAATCAATTAAGCGGGTGGTCCTTTAAACTGACTTCGCTTCTGAAGAACAAAGACTGGAGTCATTGCATTAATGTCATAACGGAAGATTATTTTATATTTTTTAAATTTGATGGGATCTTCTTCTCAACTGTGTGGCATAGAAATAGTGACTTTATATACAGCTGGTTGTACTATTCTTACTAAAGTAAATATTGTAGCGATACTAGCTTAATAGAGGTCTTCCAAAGGGTGGTCTGGTGTCGCTTTGTTGTTCGTTTACAACTCTGTCTCTCGCTAGTTTTGTTGCGGACAAATTCTATCCATCCATCCATTCCATTCCATTCCATCCCATCCCATCCATCCATCCACCTGTCTACTCGATATTGAGCACTGCTTCTCTTGTGTAATGGAAAACATATGTTAAGTATGATTATTAAATAATTGAAAGAAACTAACCACTCTATTTTAATTTAGTATCCTCCAAAGCATTCAGTGTCTCCCTGGCAATAGGTGTTGGTTTGTCCTTGTTGTGCAGATAGCCATAATTGAAGCTTTCCATTCGGTGGGTTAGCTCTTTAAGGGTCAAGCTTCGTTTTTCATCAATCAGCACCTTCAAAAAACGCTTGGTCTCATAACGCACAACTCCATCAAAGGGAATGTGCATGATGTGTTCAGGAAAACACTGGCACACATCGAAGTTGTCAACCCTGTTCATCACACTGAGCCCATTAACTCCATATGTAGTTAAAAAGGCATCACGAACATGAGGTGCATTGTCTGGATCTTCAATCATTCCACAGATTCGCAAGTGATTAGTCAGGTTTCTTGCTTGAAATTCTTCTGCTCGAAACTGGAAAAAGAAACATCATTTCATGAGGCAACAGTGCAGTCCTGACATCACATAGAACAAGTCATCAGTCCTCTGATCTACCGAATTGTTTGAATGTGGGCTCTCCTAGAATGTATGCCGACGACACTAATGTTATCTTTTCTGCTGCTGCCATAGCTGATCTTGAGTCCCAAATCAATAGTGACCTGAAATATATTGATGAATTAATTGATTAATTTATTTAAAGCTATTTTAGACAAGTTTAGACAATTTTAAACAATGTACTTTTAGATAATATTTAAGCAAATCATGTTAATATCTTAATTATTATACATTCATTATATTTATTTAAGTTGACGATTGTTATTCTTTTTTACTTTTTTGTCCTGTAATATTGGTGCTGAAAAGCCCTTTTATGGAGCAACAATAAATGTATGTTTGTATTCAAGTTCCCATAGATGGTTTTCTGATCAGTACTCCCACACGGCAAATGTGTAAAACAGTTTTTGAGAATTTCTAATTAATTGTCTATGTTAGACTGATGTTTTTAACCTTGTATAAATAAAGTTATCATTCATTCCAGGGTCTTAACAATACACGAGGAGACTGGTGTTTGATCACCGGAGCTACTGTTGGCGGAGCGTCCTTGGCGCAGCGGAGCCCCATACCTAAAACTTATCGATACCAGAAAATTTGGTTATGATATCAGCGTACGCGTCCTACCGTAAAAAAGAAGGAATACAAACCCAGTACGGTAGGGAAGGGAGTCCAATACTGAAACGTTGTGTTTCGTTTTGGTGCAAAATTGACCATTTTAGGGGCAACCAACACAGTCTCTTAAGTAAAAGCCTGGATTTTAGTTTCTTGTGTTCGACCTACCACAAAATATTCGGTAATAAATTTCTAAAGCTTTGCTTTTGCTTGATCACGCTTTAGGTCACACTCCAGGAGCAACCTTGTCTCTTCCCCACCACGACACCCCCACCCGTATACATTCTTTTTTTTTTTTAATAAGAAATAAACTTCAAATATTTATTTACCTTAAAAACGTATTTAAGAGCGAATGCACAGAAAAATCGAGCAAAATCGGCAAACCGTGGCCACAGCTCAAAACCTAACTTACCCTCATTTTCAGTCTGTAATAAGGTTTTAATGAGTTTATAACACTGCTGAGGTTTAAATTTCAAAATGCGGCCGAGTTTGCGAATTATTTGAGATTTTCGATTTCAACGGTCTGCGGGCCTGAAATTAGCCGCCGAACACGGCAATATAGCCTAGCGACAGAGATGAGCTGACTTTCATAAACGAGCGAATATATTGGCAATCTTCCACTTAAATCTCAAAAAACAGCTATTAACAATTTCTAAACAGCACATTTTTTTAGATTTAGAGAGTAAAATATCGACGAACGAGCACAATTTTGAAACGTAATTTGCATAATGCTTATAAATACAACAATTTACCGCTAAAACCAAAATCGAATTTTCTGTATGGGGGAATTCTCCAAATCACCCCAAATCCCGCTTACTACCCAATGAGATATAGTACTTCAACATTATCTGAAAGTTATGCACCAGTCAATTGAAACCCCCACCCCCCGGGTCCCGGGAAAGGGTGGGGGATTTGACATAGGCTCTGGTCAAAAGGCATCAATATCCCTACCCCCTGAGGCTGGAGTTCAGATCAAACGCCACTACCCCTGGGGCAAGAAAGCTGATACTATCAAAAGTTCTAAGAAAAGAACGTGCAAGACCTACATTTACATGGGAAAATTTAATAATGTTCTTCTTCCAGGTTTGTGCAGCTTTGATTAAAATGCTAATCACACTCTCATACAGTTTGTTCAACTATTAAACGAAGGAAAAGCATGCTGTATTTCATTATTGGTCATGACCATCTCATTACATGTATTTAATAGACTGCAAATTAGTGAAATTTGAAATACACTGTATATATTATCACACAAACTCCGTTTATTTGGCTCAAGTTCAGTTTTTAGAAATTTAATACCTTAAACTGTCTACTGAGGTGAATTCTCCATGGCTGCAACCTTGCACTGTGCGCAAATCCACTCTCCACTTGGTGCTGTTGAAAGCCCCACACACTGAAAATGGAACCACTCTATGGGACAGTCTTTATGTTCACAGGCAATCATGTCTCCACACTCTGGCCCTCCACAAATACACCACGAGTCAGGGGTGTCAACAGCTGCTTTACTAGACTTCTTCTTGAGAGAGTTCTCTTTTCTTTTTGCAGAAGCTTTCTGGGCACCTGCTTGGCGATGTTTCCTCACATCACTTAGGTGTCTTACCCACATCTCAACTTCATCGGTACGGAGTAAGGTTTGCTTTGCTAGTTTCTCTATCTCATCGGACGTCAGTTCCAGACATTCCTTTTGTTTTTTGTCAAAGGCATCTTTTATCACAGTACTTGGAGGAGAAATGGAGGCTTTGCTCAAATTGCAGTTATCCACTGCTAGCACCTCTTCTGGTCCCTTGTAGTGTCCACTACAAATACCACTGCACTTGTCACATTCCTTGGCTCCCCAAGGTCGTTTAGGGTCTGGTACTGGAAATGGCAGGTACTGAATACTTGGCCCTCCTGGGAACCATAATGAATCATTGGCTGGTTTTCCGTTCTTGCAAACTGGATGGATGCAACCCTCCTTGTAACAGGCTTTGAGAGCAAACACATACCCACTTGGAAGGTTTGGTACCATGTGCTGGTTCCGTAAGTTCCAAACCTGTTCAAAGTAATGATATTGATTTGGCTCCCTTCTTCTTGAGTTCGGCCTTAGCTGCTTTGGTTCCCCTCAAATACACAAGTAAATTCTGTCTCTGATCTTTCAGCTCTGTTGCATGCTTATCTGTGGCACCTCTGTACATTTTTATTACAGATGAACCAAATGGTATGTCATTGACTCTATCCAAATACACCTGCAGTGCTGCTTCCATGTTTTCGTGTAATCTATCCTGAGATACTCCTCCCGTTTCAGTTTCGGCAGATCCACACAATGTCGACGGTATAAAGAGATTAGCATGCGCTCGGCCAACAACACCATTCTGCAGCTCTACAAGATTGTAACAGCTCGCACCACTGTTCCTTGTTGTGACCAGTGTCAATTCCCTTCCTTCTTTTAGATGCCATTCGGTCCATCGAAACTGTACCTCAACATGACTTGGGCCCTCATCGGCTCCCCCATCAACTCTAATACAATCAATGTTCTTTCCTTCAAAACACACATCCATTTCTGCTTTTTTCTTTCAAACAGTACAAGTCAGCAAGATGCTGTGTTGCTGTTTTCTCGTGTAGAACGCCAGGTGCTTTGACAATCCCAACAGACACTTGACCAGTGGTTTCCGTCTTCATGAATAAGTAAGATGATGTTTGAAGTTGACCTCCGTGTTTGCTTACATAGTCAGAATGTGACGTGAGTTCTGGCTTTCCTTCCAAGCAGACAGCTTTATGGTTCTTATGTGTGTAAGTACTATCCAGACGGAATCCTGCTTGGTCGTCTCTATTGAGAATCATTTTATCTGAACCGTCTTTTAGCTGAAGCATATCAAGGCCCTTGTAAAAGCAGTATGACCAACGGCTATCGGGATTGAATTTGACATCAAAACCTTTACGTGCTCTTCTGCAAGTTATTGCTGCAACACCCTGGTAACGCTGAGCCGAAATCCTTCTCTTGTTCCTCACGGCACACAACTGAACAACGGTACCATACGATATCGATATGCCATACTCCTTTTGTAGATGCTCTTGCATCCTTTTTGTAAGTTACTTTAGGCCCTGTAGAATTCTTATTACTCGCGAAAGTAAAAACTCCAGTTCTTCGCCACTGGTCTGCACCAACCCGGTGTTTCTGAACAAAGTCTTCCATTTTTTTTTCCTATATCAGGGTACTTTGTCACAATGGTAGACACTTTCTTTGGAATCTTGCGTTTAAGAAGGGCTTCTTTAGCTATAAGCTTTGAAGTTTCCCTTTTAGCAGCCATCTTGATTTTTTTTTCTTTCTTGTTGCACTTTTTTCTTTTGCTTCATCAGAACAAATATCATTGATTTCACACCAGTCTCCATCATCAGATTCACTGTCAGTCTCAAATATGGCGTTGCCTAGAGATTGTTTCCGCTGAATCTCTAAATATGCCTGTCTACTAATTTCGATCAATTGCTCTTCTGCTGTTGAAAGATCACTATAGGGGATGAAATCAGCAAAGTCAACAAGTATTTGATTTAAAACTTCAGGGTTATCTGTTGGTAACATGTTTTTTTAGCTCAGCCACAAATGTAAACCAGTTAAGATTGTTTTCTCTTAGTATTAACAACAGTGTTTCTCTTGAAGGTGCTGGATTTACAGTTGGATTTTTCAGTATGTCCGTGTCATCTGGATCAAACATACCCCTGTCTGATGTTCCTTTTTCCTTTGATACTGCATTTTCTTGTGCAACCTTAACAAAAGAACTCCCATGGTCTGAGCTGTCTGTATCATGTTGTCCTTTATTGGAATGCAGCTGATCACTTAATGGAAACTCTTCTTCATCTTCTGTTGCATCTTCTGACGAAATCCATTGAACATCTTGAACTTCGCCAAGGTCAGTACTTTCATCCTCTGAATCACTGGATTCGTAGTCAAAGCCAATGGTGCGCAAAAGTGCCTTTTCCTTGACTCGTGCAAGCTCTGCCACTGTTTGTTTGATTTCACTTGCCCTTCTAAGGGTCTCTTCGATTTTCCTTTGTTTTTCGCCGAGATTTTGAACTCCATATCGCTTCCGAGCTTCTTTAGCGCTAAGCTCAGAACAAGCAGTCATTTTTAGTAGCAGACGATCTGTTTCAGTGGTTGCTAGTTCACATAAGGCGTTTATTTTTTGTCTAGATGGAAGCTTTTCTCTGACATTTGCTTTCTTCGAATGCAAGAACTGTCTCATTATGACCACAAATCTTTGTGCATCAACTCCAGGTTGGAATTCTGTAGCATACAGTCTTTTTGATCCTGGGCCTTCAGGTGCAATTTCCATGACAATAAGTGGCAGCTGCATTAGCAGCCTTACCGCCTTTGAACTTATATACTTGACCTTTGGAAAGTGTTTGATAAAAAATGCCTTCAGTTCAACAATTCCATTATTTATGACATCGTGGGCAAACGAAATCAGTCCCTCGCACTGTGAACAAACTTGTAATTCTGAACAATGTTTCCTAGAGCAAAATTCTCTCCTTGCAACAGCAACTTCTTCAAGTGTCATATCATTAATTAACGCAACATATAAACCATCGTCAACTTTGTATTTAGACACATCCGATAAACAAGAAGAAAGATGTGACACATATCGTGTATAAATGTCACTCCTAGGAGCGTCTTTATCTACAAAAAATGAGCCTTGCTCCCACTATCAGCACTCCTTGTGCCATTATTGTTGTCTCCTTGTGACTCATTTTCTGGTGTATCATTCTCTCCAGGTTTATCTCCAGAATGCTTGGCGACTTCATCAGAAACCCTTGACGACTGTGTTTCCTCCTGATTAGTACAGGTAGCTTTAGTTGAATTTCCTCTGGCTGTACCTGCTTCCTTACTCAATGGTTCTGCTGGTGTAACTGACTTTCCCCAGAAAGATGTCAATGTCTTAGTTGAACTACTCGAAGACGATGACCCGTCAGAAGACGAGGAACTGGTTGACTGCTTATCTTTGTACCATTTGGCTTTTGCCTGTTTTTTCTGGATAAGCAACACCTCTTCTTCATTCTTTCTTTTTTTCTTTTCGCAGCTTGGTGATCTCCTCTTCTACCGCAGAGGCTCGCATGTACTGTTTAAGTTGCTCATCTCTTGCTCTCTGTTGTTGCAAAAGTCGTATTCTATCCGCGAGGCTAGCTATATCATCTGTGAGTTCTTCAACCTTCTTAGTACGTAAGTGCTCAGACATTTTCACTTTCTTGCTACTGCTACCATGCTCCATTGATCCTGTTCCAAACAATTTTGATCTTGATCTTTTCTTGCTGTAATTGTAGCCGTCATTATCAAGTTTTTTACGACAAAGTTCTATAAGGTTCTGTTTGTCATCTAACAGAGTGGGATTTTCAATGCACAATTCAAAGGCATTCGCATTCATTCGTTGATGGTATGTTCTTGAGCTTTTGGCATACAGCACACTTCTCTTCCTGATATCTTCAACATTCAACTCGACGGTCACTTTGTTAGAGTCTGCTAAAGAAGGCTCATTCTAGAGAACAATAATGGAAGCCAAGTAACAAATATATTGTCTGTGGTCTTATTCACACTAGAAAGATTTTGTTTATAATTATTTCTTTCAGATTTCAGTTTCATGGGTGACTGGATGTCACTGCATTTTAAAGAGCAACTTAACCCTTTAACACCTGTTTACGTCAGCTGACGTAAAAAGTTCATAAAATTGTTAATATTTGGTCTATTTCAATGAAATTTTGCCACAAAAATGGTCTTGGAAAGATCAGTTCATTTCCAGAATAAAATTGTACCCCTCTAGTATCTATGACCACCCCTGGAACTTTTGACAATTTTTGTTTTTTACACATTTGCAGTGTGAGACATAACTCATGTTACTCTATTAACTGAGAGCTGCAAAATAAGCTATAGTTTGGGGGTATACCTAGTATGTCTGAAAATTGAGGCATTTCTGAACTTTTTGACTTTGACATTTTCAGCCCGTTTATGTCAAAGCCATGATTTACTTCTCCAATTTTGATATGAAATAAGGACTGCACTGGTCAAGACCTTTCAAATGGTATATCATACATTGCCATTTAGGTTTTATTTACGAGTTTGGAAAAAGGGGTAGAAAAACTCAGGAGTGAAAGGGTTAAACTGAATTTCATTAATAAAATTTAATTTTAAAAGCACAAACCAACAATATTCTAGCAATTTGAAAATAAAAATAGTCAACTAATAGGTTCTCACAAAAAGCTGGGAGAATAGGTTGTTACAGCACACATGTCAATGTAGCAACAACTACTAAATGCAGTCAAAAATCTACGACCCAGACTAGAACTGAAAATAAGGTCCAGATAATTGAAGTGTCATGTATGAATACTAATTTAAAGTGCCACTACGATGAAAATTTTTGTATTTCTTTTTCGCTTTTTTTAGTGCAAATGTATTTAATAGGTTTAGACAAATGCGAATTGCTATAAATTAGATTGATATATTCTTACACAGCCCAGAAATAGCTGACTGAAAACCCACGAAAATCACGTAAAATCCGTCCGCCATTACTCCGTTCATAAATCCGAGCCCACGTTCTACTGGTTTGCGATCTGGTACACTTGACTTGATTTGTGACGTAAATGACTCAACACGTCATGATTATTATTCCCTCCGGGACACAGACAACAAAGCCAAACGGCACGTGTTGAGTGACGTGTTGAGTCTTTGACGTCACAAAATCTTTAGGAAAACTCGATCCAACTCTCAGGGTTCGGTCCCGGTCATTTTTTAATTGAGTAATGGCGGCAAGCCGAATTCGAAATGTAAAGTTAAAATAATGGCACTTCCCGTACGAGTTTTGACTTGAAACTTTGCAAGGTAAGAAACAAGTACTTATATTTTCAAAATATGAAAAGAACAGAAAATGTATATTTTTGATCATAGTACCACTTTAACAAATTAGAACAAAATTCTAAAATTCTAATATGTTATACATTTTAATATTTTAATTTCTGGCTAAAAACTCAATTTCCAGTTCAGGAAAT